GGAGTTCAAAAGCTCTAAAGACTAATGCGAGAAAGAGATAGGATGGAAGATGGGATTTTAAGTAAGAAGCGAGGTAACGAGGATAGGGATTTAGATGATACGAAGCACAGAGTTGATGTGAAGATTGTACCTGGTAAGGAGCAGCAGTTGAAAGATGGCATTTTGAGTAAGAGGCAAGGAAACGAGGATAGGAACTTAGATAACATGAATCATAGATTTGATGTGATGATTGTACATGGTAAGAGGCAGAAGATGAATGATGGGATTTTGAGTAAGAAGCGAGGAAACGAGGGTAGGGATTTAGATAACTGGAAGCACATAATTGATGTGAACATATACCTGGTAAGGAGCAGAAGATTCAGAACGATAGCAAATTCATGGATGCGGAAGTAAAAATTGAACCTAAAGAAGATTCTGATTGTAAGTTATTTGATTCGTGCAAAAAATTTTGTGTATGAAGATATCATTGTTTCAAATCCTCATTTGGTAATAATTGTTGTTTTCTTTATGAAGCTCTTAAGGAGGCAATATTCCAAAGTGAAATAGAAATCCTTGAGAATATAGGTGCAGGGGTAGGCAGGGGAAGTAGCTCTAACCTCTTTGTACCTTTAGTGGAACATTGCCTGAATGTATGATTTCAATTCTTCTGCTACTTTCACTGGTTCTTTTGGTCCCTCTTTTATTTTATGTTACCTCTTAGTTTTCGTTCACCATGATAATCCTTGTAACCATTGGCTGCTAATTTTGTGTATCAAGCTGGATGCGACAATCATAGATTCTTGGTACAGGAAGGAGGTTTTGAATTTATTGATGACGCCCTACAATGAAGAGGAGTATAAGAAGCTCTGGAAAGACATAAGGAGGCGATTACCGTCCCGCTCAAGAAATGGACGTGGGAAATCTCTTCTATCACTCCATAAAGGTAGGTTAATAACCTGCGGTTTGTTTTCCCTTTCGTGGCATCTTTTTGCATTTTGAATGTTTCTCTTCTGTTTTGAATTTTTCTCAGGCCATACCTTGATTTCAAATTTATGTTCTCACTTTTAAGATAGTACCCAGTTCCATAGGATTCCTCCTTTCCCGTTTTGACAACGTAATAATAATTTATTGCCTTGTTCTTTCACCAGAAAATGAACTGAACTTGCTAGCAAATCTTTACTTTCTGATTGATAATAAGTTTTGACTTTTTTTTTTAAATCTCACTTTCATGTAGCTCATAGTAGAGTATGTTCTCCATTTGTTTCTCTACACTTTTATTGTTTTATATCCACTAGGCGTCAATTAAAAAGGGAAACATTCAGATCTTTCTTTTTAAAAGTTCCCATCTATCATTGTTGTATCTTTTCAATTGTCTCAACATTTTGTATGAACAAGGCATGACCAATGTAACTTTTGATACAATATAATGTGTACTCACATAGAAGTGTCAGTGGAAACAATAGTCATGTAAAGCAAGTGACCTCATCAAAAAGAAGAAGTCATGTGAGGTAAGTGGGCAAGTTGTGACTCCAAGAAAGGGAACAAAGAAACATTTTTAGGAAGAAATAACTGCTTTTGAAATCTAAATTCTGAAAGCCACACAGAGAAACAAAAAACTTACTTGCCAAATATGTTGAAGGTCATCGACTCATCGATAATCAAAACAGTGTCTCATTCAAATCAGTGTTGTCAAAGGCTCATTTAAGGCGCACTTAAAAGGCCTATGGCACATAAAAGTTCATGGAGGGTGATTCTCCTCACTTTGTTGTGCTTCAGTGTAGGCAACCCATTATTTGCGTCAACTACTTATTACCCTCTACATCCACATCTTGGGTACCAATTTAGCATTACTAAACTGACATCCTAGAACCAAGCTACATATTTTTTTAACAAGGGTGATTTCACAGTATAGAGAGATGAGATAAATTATAATTTAGATTGGGTGTTTGGCTTGTAGGGGCATTTTGGGCATTTAAAATATACTTGTTTTCAATGGCCTTTTAAGTGACTCGATTAAGTTTTCTAGGTCCGCTTTTGGAGTTATAGTATGCTATGGAAGAGAAGGA